TGAAAATCACATTCTTCATTATTTAATAATATAATAAGGAATTAATGAACACCTTCTGTTGATAAATGGTATGGCATATCAAGTTTAATTTTGATAAGTTTACATGAAACTTCAGTATTAATTACTGCCCTTTATTCTAAATTTTGAAATTAAATATTCATTTCTAACACATCTTTCTACATATGTGATTATTAATTAATTTTTGAAAATTATTCTAAAATGGTTCTTTAAAAAATCTGTGTAAATTTTACTAAATCCATAAATAAAATTGTTGCTATGATTAATTTTAGAATTTATTTTTTAAAAAATTAATCAAAATGAATGGTATATATATTCGTACTTTTAAATTGAGATAGATTTTGATTGGAAATTTTAATTAAGATGAAGTTAAAACTTAATTGGGAATAGAAATGTAATCTTAATTATCTTTACAGGAGATTGAAAAATTTGGCTACTTTTTTTACTTCGTAAGAATTCTGAATACTCATATAGAAACAAGTTATTGTTTTTTCAATTCATTAAAACAAAATATTTTAGATAAATTTAACAAATAATGCTAATAGATTGCTAATATAAGTTTTCTGAAAATATTTTTTCAAATTTGAAAATTTTATTTAACTTTTTAAAGTTTCATCTACAACAAATCTTCTTATCAAAAATATCTTGCAAACATCATAAAATATTTTAACCTAGTACACTGCTAATTTAAAAAATATATGAAAAGAAGGTTTGTTATCAATTTATTAAACAATTATTCAAAAGTTGCTTTTACAGAATTATACATTAAATAAAGCTAATTTATTGTATAAACTTACCAAATGGATAATTTTTATGCTTTTCTACTTCTATAATTATCACAGCCATTATACTTAAGATATATTCCCAGAAAAAACTTCAAATTTAATTAAAAATCCATCAATTATTCGTTGAAAACACTGTTCGAAATAGATATTAGAAATTTTTGTAATGATATTATGCATTTTTCCCGCTTTAGTTTATTAAAAAGAACACCAATTTTTAAAAATGTATTAAACCACTAATTAAATTGCAAGCGATATTTAAAAGCAAAAGTCTAGAAATGAATAATAACTGACAAACAATAAAAATAACTTCTTTTTATTTCGCTATTTAGAGTAATAATATTTTATTGTTATTTTCCTAGTTAAAATAAATTCAAATTGCCTCTTTTATTGAGATTGTTTAACAATGTGCTTCCTCTTTTATATTTTGAACCTCAACTTAATAAACAATAAACATTTATTTGCGTGCATATTAATCTTATTACTTCAGATAATACTCTTTAAGAATACAGTGTTATTTCAACTATTTCAACTAAACTAACCATTAACTGAGAAATGTATTCTTAAGTAGATGTCAAGGCTTGGCTTTTTACCCTTTAGAAATATTTGTAAATAAAATTACATGTATTATTTGAAATAATTTTAAAAAAGGGAAAGAAAAAAAATTGTCACTGATATTCATTAATACTGAATAGCATTATACCATAATATTCTTATACATAATTACGTAATATTCATTAATACTGAGTAAACAAGCTAAAGAGCTATTGGAAGTGTTTCTAAAATTAATCAGCTGAGATCCGTCCGATCACCTAAACTTACAAGTTTTTTCCGTTACTGTCCATTATTCGCGATCGCAACGCTCGAGTACGCCGTCTAGCGGGAGCCTGTAAATATCGGACATTAATTTATCACGTTTTCATTTAGTTCCATCAAAGTCATTGACTGAATCAGACGCCATTTTTTAGCAGCAAATAAGAAACAAAATTTCCCTAAGGAAAAGGCCGAAGAACTTGAAAAAAATCTCCAGAATATTAGTAAATCTTTCAGGAACAGAACACGCCAAACATTTGAAGAAAAATTCCTCAATAATTTTTAATTTCTATTATCAACAAACTTGCAACTGATGACTTCCGATTTCGGATACTGTTACAGATGTGTGTATTAAGGTAAAATGCATTTCTT